GATGCAAAAGTAGCAATGGTTGGAAGTTGGAAGGTCAGGTTACATTTATACTCCAAATTATTGTGTGTGGAATCTTGTTACCAACTCCAGGTGTCCATTTCATGACAGTAGGTGGGACCTCGAACTTCCTTATTCGAAGCCATCTCGAGAACTGTTGGAAAGATCAACATAATAGCAGAAGATCTGGTAAATTCATTTCATTCGATCTAAACGATTTTCTTCCTTTTTCATCTTAGCTCTGCTTCTTTTGCTCATTTAGTGGGTGATTGCCTTCCTTTATTGGTGTTTTTGGTGGTGCGGCACAAGGTTATGATAATCACAGAAGCTCAAAATACTTCTGAACTATTTTTATATTATTGTAACCAAGAAACATAACTTTTTTGCTCACTGCTATATGGGTTTTCACTTTTCATGTTTTTGCTGACAGGGAGTCATAACAGAGGATGTTGTTGATCTCAGGAAATATATTGGAGCACCTGGAATGGCTGTCCTCCAATTTGGTAATAATCCAATACTGATTTTACGTAATTACCTTAATAGTTATGCCCGCATTTTAGCATTTTAGTTCTGTTATTTTTTGTATCTGTTTAAGGTTTTGGAAGTAATGCTGAGAACCCTCATTTGCCTCACAATCATGAGTGCAATCAAGTTGTGTACACTGGAACTCATGATAATGACACGGTATAACTACTCTCTCACGTGCCTCCTCAACGGCTCTACGTTCTCTATGCATATGCTTTTTTAGTTTTTTATGCACATCTGCTAAGGAATGCCTGTTACTGCTTACTTGTTCACGCTTTTTTGAACTAATTATTTTTTCCTGACCTTTCTTTTGCACATGCTTATGATTGTTTCATAGATACTAGGTTGGTGGAGTAACTTAGAAGAATGGGAGAAGACCAATGTGAGTTTTCTTTTTTCGCTTGTATCCATCAACTAATTACAGAGTATGTGCGAGGTAGATTAGATTATAATGCACAATAACATATAATCTTTTGCTTAGGTACGGAAATATCTTTCTATTGCTGAAGGGCATGACGAGATTTCATGGTCACTTATCCAAGCTGCACTCAGTTCAGTGGCTCAAACCACGATCATAACCATGCAGGACGTACTTGGTCTGGGTAGTTCTGCCAGGATGAACATTCCTGCTACAGAGGTAAACCCAAAAAAAAAAAAAAAAACTGCTCCCTTATTCATGAAAAGAGGATGGGGGAGATACCCAAAAACATGTTTCCTTGTTAACAGTGTGTACCTATATAGTTCATGCCATTATTCATTCATGGTGATTACTATGTGCAGACTGGAAATTGGAGGTGGAGGATACCTAATTCAACGAGTTTTGATATTTTGGAAACAGAAGCGATGCGATTGAAGGATATGATTTCCATGTATGGACGCCTGTAGTTCGGAAGGGTAAGAAGTCAAAGTCATAGCCACCAACCACTCTGCTTATTTTGCATATACTCAATGTGTGTTATATAACAACCCGGAAGAGCTAGCTCTAAACAACTCCAGTAATGCACTTAAAAATTGAGATGTTCTAGTTTGATTATCGGGGATGGAATAAAAAGAAATTTAATCATATTCTGTTTCCGGAGAAATGGTTGGTGCTTGGTTTGACATTGCTCTCATCTTCCAGTCCCAAAATAGTGCGACTCATTGATTCAAACTGTATGCACATCTCCTGAGTTGAGATGTCTTGTAGAACGTAGAATATATAGTATAACGGCACTAAAATTTGAAGCCCGAGACCGGCCACAAGGATATCCACAGGGTTCAGGCCAGCCCAAAGGGATACCTGTGGGCTTTGGGCTGGCCCGTCTAAGATTTGGTCAGAAGAGTTCTCTCTTTTGATCAAAAGAACTTGTAGAATTTTTGCATGAATATAATGTCATTATTATAAATCCAACACAATTTCGTATTCTCAATAAATCACATTTCACACCCAAGACCCACTCAAAATAAAACAGTAGCGTTGGTTCAACAAATACTCAAAAAAGAGTATCAAGAAATGCTAAAGCAGTAGCAACTTTGCAACACAGGAAATGCTAAAGCGAATTGCAGAGAAGGAAAAGTGAGAATACTAGAAGAAACTGTCTCACTTTTATAAATCTAACACAATTTAATATTCTCACTTTTGGATATGCTTTCACAAGATCCGGAAGAATCATACTCGCAATTCTCGTGCGTGGGAGCAACGCATTCCTTATCTAGTATTTTTGGACGAACAGTGCAATATTTCAAATTGTTCATGGATATTTGATGCACTTTTTAATGCTCATGTAATTACGGAATAGAGTAATTGAGTAATCAAAGTAAACAGAAAACGTAAAGGCACATAGATTTAACGTGGTTCACCAATGTTGTGTTAGCTATGTCCATGGGCAAGAACGGAGACAGATTTTATTATGACAGAAGTCCAGAGTACAGAGTTCTTGTGCCATATCTCTATATAAATAGGCACACAAAACGGCCCAATACAATGATTAGATACCAATACAACAACATAGCATTTAAGGAATAAATACACAAAACGGGCTATGCCCCCATTTACTAATCTCCGTAGCGGCAACACAAAACAGATTCAAGGCATATTAACAGCTCAGGGATAAATTATTCAATTTTTAAAGAATTCGAGAATAAATGATGCACATTTAATATTTAAAAATAAATCATCTAATTTCCTAAAAATTCAGGAGTAAACCGTGCAATTTCCTCGAAAGACCTGGCACACTTACTTTGGGCTCCTCGTGATGCCAATCTCACCTTCACCGCTGCATGTCTCAACTCTCATCCAGTTAGCAAAAGCTCCCCAATTAAACTACAACCCTCACTTTTCACGGACTACAT